GCATTTATTAAGTGATGATAAATATACTACAATAGTATTTATTAAGTGATGATAAATACACTACAATAGTATTAAGTGGTGATAAATACACTGCAATAGTATTATAAAGTGATGATAAATACACCACTGTACTGTACTAAGTGTTGAAGAAAGACATTGTGGTAAGCTGACCAGCTGCTTGCTCTTTGTAACAAATGACTCGTGGTGTTCAGTGTGGGATTCTTTTTTTCTTAGGAAAGTTGATTATTTTAGGATAATATTATATCAACCTGGCACCAAATGATACTAAATTATATGAGAATTTTGATGGAATTGTATAAAGTAGTGTTAAAGGAATCTTGTGGGATAGAGGGGTAGAGAGCCACCCACCACTCTGCCAGCTGCTCCCAGATAAACATTTGTCTCCCACATACAATATACTCCTACACTTATTTTTATCATTATAGTACTGTATAGTATACACTTTTCTCTTTATTCATAAGACAATTCTGTGGTTACTTATATAATACTTTACAGTAAATAACAATCATCTCGGTGAAAACCAGACCTACATGTTTGATTTACAACCCAGAGAGTTTTCATATTTTTTTAATTGTTGATGGAATATTCTTTTAATAACCTTGTTACACACTTAAAGACCTTATTTGTTGAAGTGCAGTAATAACGACAACTGATTTTCTTTAAACAGTTCAGATAAGCAGTGTTATCTCCCCCCTCCCCCTATATTCCCTTCCAAGACCTTTCCCATCATGATGCACAAGAGCACAATTGAGCAAATATAGACACCTCTTTCAACTGCTTTCATTCAATCTTACTGCTAAAACAGATTGTGTTCTGACACATCAGTAACACTACTTCACATCTTTTCTCTCTCTTTTTATTTCCTGTCTAGCTCCTGCCATCTGCCTTAGAATTATTCATAGCTTAACTTTACTGATCGGACAAGAAGCGGTGTTTTCAACTTGGTACTACAGTATAATACCATCGAGGCTCAGTGTTGGTTGATGGCCTCGACACAAAAAGTGATGATTTGATGGATCCTTATTAGTTATATTAATAACAAAACATAGCTACCACATACACTATTCTTTTTAATAGAGTAATGTATGTGATAGCAATGTTTTGTGAAATAAACAGCTAAACAGTAGAATTACATGTTTACTCATTCTGTATTGCATTTATTCTTTATTTCTTTTGCTACCCATTTCACAAAACATTTGTTACTACATACACTTTTCTTTTCAAGAAAGTACCAGAGAGGATTATGAGTGTGACTGATAAGGAACCATCAAGCCTCCAAAATCAGCATAAACTCAAAAGTTCGTGGGTTACAGGTAAGTGTGTGCATCATGCCAAAATGGATAAGAAAATTTATCCATTTAAGGTAATTCAGTATTTTGGCAAGATCAAAGTCCCTAGCAAGCTGAATTACCGAAGTTTCAGCACACTCGCAAAGTAGAGCCTCACTGTATCAGACACTCAACACTGTATATCAGAACCAATCACCCACTAGACTGGGATAATTTATATCAGCATGGCTAAGGATGCCAACCCAAGGAATTAAGCAAGAATGGCAACGAGACTCGTATCTCTGCCAAATCAGATTTATACAAATACATACTGGACTGGTTGCTGTCTAATAAAGCAAATTTCCAATACAGTACCATGTACTGTAATAAGTGTCCAATATAATGAGGCTTCACTTTTACATACAATCAAAAGAAAAGGTAGACACTTAACTGTTTATTTCAATATCAACAAAATACATAAGAAGTTTTTGGTATTTAATGTTTACCTCTTTAGTTGTAACAGCAATAAGGCCATCATCCAGAGTAGCAATCATCTTGGGTTGTGAACCAAGAGAAATGGATACACCAGTATAACAACGTTCAACAGGATCTGTGGGAACAAAAAGATGTAGACAGTCATGCGCCTGTTGACGTCCTAGATATGTTCTTGGAAACGTGATGTTAAGAGAAATGGACGTTGTCCGAAATTACATAAACCCTATGGGATTTATTCTAATTGGTTCCAGGCACCCAACCCCAAGTTTCCCATTTTACGACCATTTAAACCCACTAAATATATATATAATGTTATGGTAAATATCATAAACACACATAGGCATGGTTAGGTTTATTACAAAGTGAAGAAAAGGATACTGTAAAGTGGGTAGTCCACAAAACATGTAGCTATGTCTCTCTTTATTTGAGAGCCCGGTCAAAGGAGTCTGTTTTCTCTCACTTCAGGATGCTTGAGTCGTCCGTTTTCTCTTAATCTTCGAGTGCAGTGCACTAGAGACTTCGTTATTCCTTAGCAATGACACAGAATTTGATATTGCAACTGGGGTTACAATTGTTGAGGCAACTTAGATATGTCTGATTACAGTTGGAATATTCAAGATCCATTGTGAGTGATGTTGAAAGCTTCAACTGACTTTATGGATGGTAAAAGTTGTCAAGTCTGTCAGTCTGAGTGGCATGTGTGAGGCCTTGTGTTTGTATAATTGCTAAATATATAAATATATAATGTTATGGTAATTGTCAGAAACACACATAGGCATGACGAGGTTTATTACAAAGTGATGAAAATTATACGATCAATACTGTACAGTGGGTAGTCCACAAAACATGCAGCCATGTCTCTTTATTTGAGTGCCCCGTCAAAGGAGTCTGTTTTCTCACTTCAGGACACCTGAGTCCTGCAAGGAACTTTATAAATGCAACCATTCCTTGCAAGGAATGTAATATGTTTTACTTAGGCCAGACAGGTAAAGATCTTGCAACTAGAATTAAACAACACAAATACAGTGTTAGGACAGGCCAGGAATCCAATGCTCTGTTTGTTCATTTGAGGGATAACAAGCATTGCATTGACTGGGATAATGCCTCCTCAATATTACCATGTAATTCAATTGATAGTAGGAACATCATAGAATCTAGTCTTATTAAACATACCGAAGCATTCAACATGAATTTGAGTAACGGCATGTACAAGCTGGACAATTTTGTAATTAAGAAGATTTGTGACCAGGTGAGAAGGCCGGGTCACCTGACCATCTGACCTGACCACCAACCGTTGTGTGCTATTTAAAGATTAGTAGGGTCATTACCTAATACCTGACCATTGTGGACCTGGTCTCACCCTCCTCTGTATATATACACCTTGATTTGTATTTCTCTCTCTAGTCTGTACTCACCCCTGAAGATGTGAATTACACGAAAGCGCTTGGGAACTTCGTGTTTTCTTCTTTCCTTGTGGTTATCAGCATATATATATATATATATATATATATATATATATATATATATATATATATATATATATATATATATATGTATCTTGATAAAATCACACGGGAAAATGGAAACAACGGAGTACCTTAGCTTTCGTCTTTATTCAAGACATCTTCAGAGGCAACTGGATTACATGGACAGAGAGAGGCTTAAATATACAGGGTGACCTAAAAACATGAGGTCAGGTCATAATGATGACATCCACTAATCCCCACACCAACACACACGTAGAGGAGCTTAAGAGAAGGGTGATGACGTGACTAGACAGGTCAGGTCAGAAAAAAGGGACCCACAAAATAACTATCATACATCAAGATCAAAGGTTTTCAAAGCATTTTTAACCTTGGGCCACTGACAAATAAATTTATGTAACATATCAGTTTTGAACTGACCATCACTAAGGTTTATTGATATGTATATTTATATATGTATATATATATATATATGTATATATATATATATGTATATATATGTATATATATGTATATATATATATATATATATGTATATATACTGTATATATATTTCATGTAGATCCACAATGAAAACGTGGATAAGATAAATCTTGATATGTATGTATGTATGTATATATATATATATATATATATATATGTATATATATATATATATATATATATATATATATATATATATATATATATATATATATATATATACACACACACCTAGACCCCGACTTACGACGGGGTTAGGGACCCAAATCCAGGTCGTAAGTCCGGCATGGTCGTAAGTCCGACAAAAATAAAAAATAAAAAATCTACAATGAAATACAGTACAGTAAAAGTAATGAATAATGATGAATGGATACAGTACAGTGAAAGTAATAAATAATAAGGAATGGATACAGTGTGACTGAGCACTTAACCTTTAATGTAGTCAGCTGAATGCACATGGGGCCCCCATAATTTTCTAATTATACATGGAGACTACATTAACTGGAAACTTTTTGGTATAGAAAATGCGTGTGTCATTTTGAAAGAAAAAAAAAATTCTGCGGCGGTCGTAAGTCCCGACGGTCGTAAGTCGGGGTCTAGGTGTGTGTGTGTATATATATATATATATATATATATATATATATATATATATATATATATATATATATATATATATATATATATATATATATATATATATATATATATATATATATATATATATATATATATATATACAGTCAACCCTCACTTTACGCGGTTAATGTAACCCACAGGGTACCGCGGAAAGTGAATAACATAACATATGGGATTAAATGAAATAGAGACCAGCTGACCCCCAAACTCCACTTTTTCCAACACAATACCTATGTTCTAGTAAAAATAACATCTTAATTTTATGATGGTACATGCACACAATTAATACTTAAGAGAAATAGAGAAATACAGTCGCCAAGTTAATGTCCATTCAAATAATGGACTCGACTCCCTCCCCCTCTTCTCACACTACACTGCTGGCTCTTCCCTCTCTGAGAAATTTTGGGGGGAAAACCAGGTATAGTAATAAATAATACCTCAAACTAAAGTTAGGATAATATAATTGACATTGCTGGATTCCTTGTAAGACCAGGAATATTTTGAATATAAATGTCATATATTTTGCACAAAAGATAACATATTTACTCAGAGTAAACATTATATCTAAAATTTATATGTCTAATGCAAAATCTATGATGTTTATATTCAAAATGATCATCAAATTGTAAGAATTCAAGCAATGTAAATTATATTCTGGCCGGGTAATTTGTATGAATTTTATGGGCTAAAACAAATATCTTCAGTTAATAAAAAAAAAAAATATTCTTCACTCCACTATCCGTCAATCAAAGTACCCCACCTTGCCTCCCCCCCTCTTCCAACTGCGCCAGGTGGTCGGTCAGTCCCAACCCTCCCTTCAAGAGAAAGGTTGGGTGAAAAAAACTAGATTTTAACATTTAGTATTAAATAATACCTCAGATTAAAGTTAGGATAATATAATTGACATTGCTGGATTCCTTGTAAAACCAGGAATATTTTGAATATAAATATCATATATTTTGCACAAAAGATAACATATTTACTCAGAGTAAACATTATATCTAAAATTTGTATGTCTAATGCAAAATATATGATGTTTATATTCAAAATGATCATCAAATTGTAAGAATTCCAGCAATGTAAATTATATTCTGGCTGGGTAATTTGTATGAATTTTATGAGCTAAAACAAATATCTTCAGTTAATAAATAAAAAAATATTCTTCGCACCATGACCAAGTGGTCGGTCGCCGGTCCCTCCCTCCCTCCCACCAACCCTCCCTACCAGATGAATGTGTGGGAATACCAGACTGTTTACCTTTTTAGTAATAAATAATAAATCAGACTAAAGTTAGGATAATATAATTGACATTGCTGGATTCCTTGCAAGACCAGGAATATTTTGAATATAAATATCATATATTTTGCACAAAAGATAACATATTTACTCAGAGTAAACATTATATCTAAAATTTGTATGTCTAATGCAAAATCTATGATGTTCATATTCAAAATGATCATCAAATTGTAAGAATTCCAGCAATGTAAATTATATTCTGGCCGGGTAATTTGTATGAATTTTATGAGCTAAATAAAAAAATTATACTTCACCCGCGTAAAGGGGTACACCCACTGCGGAATGTGAGCATCCTGGGTTCTGGCAGGGCACCGTGTAAACGTGGAATGTGGGACCACGTAAAGTGAGGGTTGACTGTGTGTGTATGTGTATATGTATATGTGTATGTGTGCAAGTAAATCACTGTAGGTGCGGTATCTAATTATATGCTGATAACCATAAGGAAAGAAGAAAACCAAGTTCCTGGAACTTCGTGTTCTTCTTTCTTATATATATCTCTGTACAGTGACCCCTCGTTTAACGAACACCTCGGTTAACGTAATTTCGATTAACGAACTGCCTTCCATAAGGATCTTCAATTCGGTTAACGAAAAAAAATTCGGTTAACGAAGTTCTTACGAACCGACCTCAACATGTTTTCGCTTGCACTGACCGGGCAACCAGCTTTAGTATCAGTCCGCCAATACATTAATCGATTCTAGGGCTTAAATTCCTTACTATTTTAGTAAATATCAAGAAGTTTATACTATTCAATAATTTTAAAAGTTTAATATTCAATTTTTAGTCATTTTAACAATTATTGAACATAATTGAAGGTAAAGTGACTAGTTTAATGCGCGGCATCCAGCCTCTTAACACAGCAAACAGGCGTTAGTCTCTCTCTGTTTTCACTGGAGGTAACATCTTGCTTGAGACTCTCTTCAACTAAACGCTTTTTTTCTGTGTTTCCAAGCAAATTATTGGTCATTTTGAAATATATTTTATATATTGACAATATATAATGCAGTGCAGTGTTGATTTAAAGAAAATAATCTTGAATTACACCAGAGAGCTAAAATTTTATGGGTGAAATGGTGCCATGGGGTGACTTCTCTTCCACCCCAATGCCTTCTCTTCTTCCTTCTCCTCATTCTAAATCCCATGATCATCATCATCATCCAGGAGCCTTCTACATACACACCTCAAAGTAAGTGAACTTTTCTACCATTTTTGTTGAATTTAGGAAATTTTCGGTGAGCTGGAACCACTACAAAACCCAATGGGTTAAAGAGGTTAAACGGAACGGGATGGAGTCACGTTGCCAGATGATGTGTATGTATATGTATGTGTGTGTGTGTATATATATATATATATATATATATATATATATATATATATATATATATATATATATATATATATATATATATATATATATATATATATATATATATATATATATATATATATACAGAATACTCCGGCTACACCAACACTCTCTCCACCCTGGAAATGCCATCCCTCAGTGACCTCCAGCACCAAGCACTGGAAAGGTTTGGCAGTGGACCACTGCACCACCCTCGTCATCGCCGCCACCTGCAGCCCCCCCACCCAACTCGCGCAGTCCGCCACTACAACAAAATTCAGCCCATAAGAGCCCGCACCGATAGATATAAGAACAGCACCATCCCATCTATTGTTAAAATAATAAACAACTCCTGATTTATGTACTGTACAGCCCTGTAAGTGTATTCAATGTATATTATATCATTATGTCTAAATCAAATGTAAGTCTGTATATTTTCAGCCACCGGCTGCAACTCTATTAATAAACAAAGTTTATTATTATTTTTTAAAACACACACACACACACACATGTATGTATGTATGTATTAAAAATAAAATAAAATTACATTTTCATATAAATAATAATTAAATCCCGATATGTATTATATATTAAAAAAAAAAAAAACGCCTTGCATATGGAGACTGCCAGGCTTGTGAGTGGTGACGCCAGCATCTCTAGTATAAACAGTCGCAGCTGACGGGCCCTTTGTTTTCACGCATCTGAACAGGAAAAGGAGAAAAACGTTCCCAGGTTTCTTATGGCATTTCTGCATCCCTATTCAACATGAGCAAGAGAGCAAGTGATGGTTCAAAAGCTAAAAGAAAGTGTATAAGCTTAGCCGAGAAACTAGATGTGTTTAAACGATATGAAAAAGGTGAGAGGTCTGTGGATATTATATGGAGCAAGCAATGAACATATTTTCTGAAGTGGATCCATTAACAGAATTAAGCATTAAAATTAACAGGGACGTGAAAAACACATATGACCTCTACATAAAGATGTATAATGAGAAAAGGAAGCAGCTGTGCAAGGTTCTTTCAACAGCTTTATTATTCGAAGGCTGAAACCATCAACTTCAGCTGCACCATCAAATTCAGCATCAGCAGCAGCAACAACTACAGGTTGAGTAACAGATTCAGCAACAGCTTTATGGAAAGCTACAGCCTCAACCAGAGTTGAACCTGATGACTTCGTCATCTGAGTAAATACTCGCACAATATTCATGGCTGTCCTTATGTTTTAAACTTTACCACCATTGATGAGTTGAATTTTTGTTTTACATTCGTATTATTTAAAACATATATGAACAGTAATAAGTGTTACTTTCATATTCTTATGTTGAAAAATGACGATATGTTTTCACATACACCCACTTACATACATTGATGTTGCGCAGTCTCGCCTTTTTTCTTTACCATTAGTGGTTAGCTACTTCTATTGTTCCATTCATTAACATTACCTTAAACATGCATTAATTTTACTACAGCTACAACCAGGTTCTTATTTTCTTCAGTTTCTTGTGTAGAACCATCGTCACGGATGTAAACACTATCGAAAACAATGCGATCTCGTCTCATCTCTTGTGTGTTTTAATATTCTAGGTTTTATTAATGAATTGTATTGTTCATTTCACATATATAAACATGAATTCAATCAAATACATATTCAGTAATAAACAAAAATTAATCTTTTGTACATATTCTTAGTAAGATAAATGACGCTGTGTTTCCATGAGTGTGCACGTATACATTGGCATTCCACTATCAGTCTCTCACTTTTTTCTTTACCATCAGTGGTTACTTCTACTGTACATTGAATAACTTTAATTAAAACACATATTTTTTACATTAATTTTACTACAGCAACACCAGGGTCATATTTTTTTTCAGTTTCAGATGGATAACACTAACAGCAATGGCGTCTCATCTCCTCTTGTGTGACCATATTATTATTTATTTATATTGTATAAGGTGCATTCATAAACATTATTTAAAGAATATAGTTGGCATTTTTCATTAATTTTATTGTTTTGGGGGAAAAGAGGGTAACATGCCACACAAAAGATATGAAAAGGTCAGACTTTGGAACGCATCTCATTATTATTGCTTTATTTTAATGGTAATTCATGATTCACGATAAGATGATTCACCTTACACTGCAATATTGGAGGACACATTACCGTTGTTATTCGAGGCTTTACTGTACTTATATGTTGGATTTTTTATATAATTGACCTTATGGAACCTCGTTCGTATTGGCGGGTGTTCGTAAGTCAGGGTCCCCCCTGTAAACTAAGCATTCCTTAATGCAAATTATACATAAAATGCACATTGATATTTTTTTCCATAAATTTCCATTTTTGCTTCTCTACTGCAATGAAAACATCCATTTACACAGCCAATTAAAATGATGTTCCACCCAAAAAATCTGTTTATTAAGCAAATTTCATTATCATTTAACAAAATATATTTATAGGTAAAATAAAAAAAAGAGCAGACTTATGGTATTCTCAACTTACCAATGACCTTAATGCTGTCATCGATGCCAGCAGTGTAAGCAGCAGTGTCCGTGACAATTAAGCCGCTGACATGATTTCCATGACCCTTGCCAGCGATGCGGTCATTCTCACCTGTTAACAGATACAATACATTACATTTTGAAATGAAACAATCTAAAGAATTTTAATACTTCACCTATCTATAAGGCATTAGTATTCAACATCCACATCTAAAAACTCGCCTCCAGCGACTGGTCTTTACATATCATTTACAAATCTTTTCAATACATTTATTCATTATTGTATCACTCACAGCATAATCCATTTCAGGTACTTGAATTAAATCATGAAACTCTACACCTCCAACTTCCCTATTTTAATCAGCTTTATTGCCATTTTTCTACCAAATATGTTTATTAAAAATATTCCTTTCTCTCAAAGGTACAAAACTAAAGAAGGGATAATAATTATCATAAATTCATTAACAAATGGAATTAATATTTCTTTATACACCAGTGAGAGTTTGTAGGTTGAGCAGGAAGTTAAGTTGTGGTTATTTTTCAACTTGAATTCAGAGACAAACTTAACTTTAACTTTTTTTTTTACTCAGTTATATGTACACAATCCTAAATATAGAAAGTAAAAGAAATAAATATCATAAAGTAAAAATCACAAAGGAATAAACATATCTTTGTGTGCTTGAGTTGAGAAATGGGGAGAAGCAGGAGGGGGGAACCCCGTTGCTAAGGGTCAGCAGAAGCAGCGTCCCAGCAGGGCTGAGTTACTATGGCAAGGCTTGAGACTAGGCACCAGCATTTGTGTTAAACATTCATTTAACTTTTCCTTAATGGTTTTAGCTGAACATTTTCATTTGGACGGTACAGGTACACCACCGATTATCCGAGAACTGATGGTCCGGCACCTCCTTTAGTCAGGACAAAATTATGAGGGGGGGCACTTAACTTCCCTCCCTCCCAGCCTGGGTGAAGGTAGTTTTAGGTTTAAAGTTTTTATCTTATAAAATGTAGCTGACTGGACCTAGCAGAATATATATTGTATTGCTGGAATCCTTGTAAGATAATGATTAATTTGAATATAAACATTAAATAGTTTGCAGAAGAGATAAAATTTTTAGTCTAGTGTAGTACATTTTGAGTTCAAAGTGTGTACAGTAATGTTGCTCAAAATTATGTTTGTTTTTTCACATTTAATTTACATTTAATATTTGTTTAATTTAAGTTTCTAGCAGTCCATGGTGCTTTAGAGACACAGGAGGTGTATCATTAGTGGGTCAGAGGTGTATTGTTGATTTATTATTACCTGACCTCGGTTGGTCTAGCAAAACGGATAATCCAGCAAGGCTTTGGAGCCAAGGGTGCCGGAAAATCGGCAGTGGACCTATATTTTATTGATGTTTTTAGTGTGTTAGCCAGAAAATTGCAGTACAGTAGTTGGGTATTACTTTTCATCAGATTAGGTTTTTTTTTTTTTTTTTTGGTGAATCTCTTTCATATTTTTGGAATATAATGCAGTACAGTATTGGGGTTTTCTTTTTATTGGGGAATGGAACCTAATTTTTCCTAATTTTTTTCTGTTATTCGAAACACAAAAATTCACATACAGGTAAATTTCAGGAACCTAACCCATTCATAAAGCAAGGGATAGCTGTATCGCTTGTGTCTTGTATCTTTTCAGCTTGTGGTTGTTGTTTTCAATAAAATTATAATTGTTAATAATTTTTGTACAATGAACATATTCTAATCCTAATTCTTTACCTCTAATGTTCTACATTTTGTGTCCCTCTTATGCTCTGGCTCACTCTCCAGATACAGTACTGCACTACTGCACTAAGATACTGTAATACAAATCTATGCTTTACACCTTGGTAGCTGGAGTGTTTATTCATCATAGACATTTAATGTACTGTACAGCCACACCAAGCTTATGTAAGTTAATCACAAATGTTTCTTTTATGCATATTTATTCAAAACTATTAATGTAATTCAAATTACAATGTTAAAAATAAACCCACCAGATATTAAGATATTTCATTATAAATCTATACACTACAAATTGGTAACTTGAGTGTCTAGTTTGTATTGCACAGCTGCACTGACCTTATGCAAGATACATTACTGTATACATACTAAGAGTACTTGTCTTCATACCAAAGAAAATTAAATATGAAAACAATATTATTTGCCTGTATTTAAATATGCTTGATAATTTTATGTTTACCTGTACACAATTTATATTATTTGACTTAATACTACTCTGCCACGGCAAGGGTCCAAAAGATGAATACATATGTGGGACGTAAATGAGAATAACGGTAAAGTGTTCCCAACTGATGAGTAATGACTAAGTGAAAGTACCAATAAAGGGGATACGAATAATAGAGGATCTTTGTTCCACGACTGGGCCTCCTCCACTGATGCTGAAAGCATAGCCATCCTCGCGGGCATTCATGAGGGGGCGACCTATGCTCACACTGAACGCCGGAACCTCCTTATAATCAGTGACAGCACTTCTGCGCTAGCGAGGCTCAAATTACCCTCCCCTTCCTCCCCTGCCGCCCAACACACCCTAGCCGCCGTTGCCGGGCTAGAACAAACTGATGACATCCGTGTCAAGTTTCTTTGGATCCCGTCACATATAGGAATAACTGCCTGTGACACTGTTGATCGGCTTGCCAAAGAAGCTTCACAAGAAGAAGATATTGAAGCCACTCTCGCCCTCTCCCTGAATCATCTCAAATCTCGCATACATGCTACACAACGAGAGGCATTCAACGAAAATTGGACACACCTGAAACAACGAGGTAGCATCACACTATGCCACTATGACGCTGTAACCGGTGACGTCAACCGCCACTACAAAGAATATCAATCCCTGACTTGATCTCAACAGCTTATATACATGAGACTGCGCCTAGGGTACAGGTACCTATGGGAGTACATTGGCAACCCTGAGCCTGGCTGCACTGTTTGTAAACTTTGTGGCCAACCCGACACTCACACCCTCTCTCACTACATCCTCACTTGCCCTATGACCTCCTCCTATAGGTCCCCAGCCGTTACCAACACCTCTTCCCTCCCAGACCAGATATCCCTCCTCCTAGTCACAGGCCTGGCATTTGACATTATTAGGGACCTGCCACTCTTTGCCATAAACCGATGAAATGTACCGGGAACTTTCCCCCCACACACTCATCATTCTCTCACTTTATGTAACTTGACAAAACCTATGACCCTTCAGGCTTTTACGCCCTTAATGTACGAGTCATAAAGGCAAGTATGAACTTTTCATACTTCCCTGTTGGGCGCTGTAAACGCTTCTGCGTTTCACCTTGCACAGGATGTAAGGGGGTGCCCAATAAACTAGCCCCCTCGGGGGCAACTCTGAATCTGAGAGGATCTTTGTATTAAACACCAACACACAAACATGTCACTACAGAATATGCTCCCAACTTTAGAGCTAGACACAGTACAGGTAGTACTTACCTGTTGCAACATCCCAAACAGTAACGGTTCCATCAACTCCTGTTGTGTAAAGACTGCTGCCGTCAGATGACAAGGCTACTCGAGTAATGGGTTTGTTGTGTCCCTGAAAGTGAGAAAGAAAAAATTAATAAAATCCTTGATCATCTAAAATTTAAAATTTGCCCATAGTGAAAATTAATGACTTCCATGTTCTCTTTAAGTTTGCAATTTTGAAAAACAGGGGTCCACCAGTTATATGTACTGTATAACAATTTTTCCCACCCCAAACTCATTGTTCGTATGCTATACTCGTACTCGGTTATAGATACAGTATACAGTAATCCCTGATTATTGTTTTCGTTTACAGTGATATCCCCATTAGGAGGAACAATTGGGGCAGAGAACTTCCAGGGATGAGAGATTTCCGGGTCACGAGACGACTTACTCAAACCTGGAAAAATTCCTTATCACCGGAACCTTTTCCGGTTACTGGGAAAAGTTTCCGAGTGTCTAAACCAGACCTCTTGCACAGACACACACTCGCCCACTTCCCTAGAAGGTTTCTGGGTGCTGGAGATGTTGTCCTCGAGTCTAAACTACTGGAATCGGAAAATAGTTCTAATTAAGCTAGAAACTTAATTTTTTTACTATAATAATCCAGAATAGTTTATCTTAAAATTTGGTTAAATATATTTGAAAATTAAAAATCCTAAGGATATGAGCGTGAATGAAGCTGTGTGTTACAGCAAAGACTAGTATTTTCCACTCCCATGGAGCTGTGGGCGATTAGTGGGTCTTGTGTAACTGATCTGACCTGATGCAATGTCAGGTGGAGGTAGGATGGGGGATTAGCAATCTCATTACTGATTAGATGGAATGTCAGGTTACCTTTTCTTGGGTGGAGGATTAGTGGGTCTCATGACCTGAAGACGTCTTGAATAAACACGAAACCTAAAATTGTGGTAAGTACAGATATAAGTATAAATGAGCAAAGTTGTATCCCTTCAACATTACGTTACAAAACATTTTAAAATATGGAGTGAGAAAGCAGAAAGGTGTGGGTGATTAGAGATGGAGTGGAATGAGCGTTGCCAAGCGCTACTCAAGAGCTGATATTTAACACGCTACCATTCAGTCACACACGCAGATGTGTCTTAATTCCCGTGCTCGCTCTCTCTCTCTCTCTCTCTCTGTGTGTGTGTGTGTCGTTGATCAGGATGAGTAAGCACAGTGGTCCCATCTTGGTCCCCTGGGGAACGCTGCAGGTGAGGTGTTGGAATGTAGAGACCAAGCCCTGATACCTCACTGCTTGGCGACATCCACTCAAGAAATCAGTGAGCCATGAGACCAGGTTGGTGGGCAGCCCTAGTGCAATAGCCTTGTTGATAACAGTGCAGTGATCAACAAGGTCAAAGGCCTTCCTGAAGTCCACAAGGGCAACGGCCAGTGATGTCTTTCGTTTCTGCAAGTTGTGTGTGTGTGTGTGTGTGTGTGTGTGCGTGCGTCTGGTTGTTGGAGGGTGTGTTTGTGTGTGATGTAGGGGTGTATGTGTGATGTGTAGGTGGTGTTGGTGTGTTGACGGAAGTGAACCTTTTTGGGGAGTAGGGTAGCCTGGTCGTCCCTCCCCCCCTCACTCAAGCGTGGCTAATTGTGATAGGGAGATGACTTTGATACCATAATGATGCATAATATATTCTCTCCCAAATGTTTCCAGTAAAATATCCTTAAACGAAATATTTCTATATTTCTATATAATAAAATGATGGAAATTCCATTCTTTAAAAGAAAAAAAAAAGAAAAAGAAGTAAGACTGTTGATACAGGAGTTGGTAAAATCAGTTCTAAATTCATTTAACACACCATTTTTTATCAAAATAATCCTGAATATGGTAGTAGACAGCTACCAAACAGGGAGGTACTACCACCTGGGAAGATATTGGAAGCATAATGTGTTATCTAATGGTAGACCCTGCTGCCATATGGCATCACGAAAATTGTGACCAAGTCCCAGGTTGCTGATCTGTCTTTCTGCTTCATTTACACACAATTGCAGGGTCTCAATTGTTTCTCTTACTATTGAAAACACAACATATATACTGTACTGTACAGTATTACCCCGCCTAACGCGGTTTCACTTAACGTGTTTTTTCATATACGCGGTGCCTTGCCAGAGCTGAACTTTCACTTAACACGGATTTTTTCCACATATACGCGGTGAGTGTCCGGCTCGAGACGCTATTTTTAGATTTGCCTCACCCGCCACCCTGCCTGACTGCCTTTTTTAGCTCATAAAATTCATACAAATTACCCATCCAGAATATAATTTACATTGCTGAAATTCTTATAATTTGGTGATCATTTTGAATATAAACATCATATATTTTGCATTAGACATACAAATTTTAGATAAAATGTTTAATCTGAGTAAATATGTTATCTTTTGTGCAAAATATATGACATTTATATTCAAAATATTCCTGGTCTTACAAGGAATCCAGCAATGTCAATTATATTATCCTAACTTTAGTTTGAGGTATTATTTATTACTAAAAAGTTAAATACAGTGGTTTTACTCCATGGGGGGGAGGGAGGGACCACCGAATATATATATTAACATTAGCTCATTCATACAAATTACCCGGTCAGAATATAATTTACATTGCTGGAATTCTTATAATTTGGTGATCATTTTGAATATAAACATCATATATTTTGCATTAGACATACAAATTTTAGATAAAATGTTTTCTCTAAGTAAATATGTTATCTTTTGTGCAAAATATATGACATTTATATTCAAAATATTCCTGGTCTTACAAGGAATCCAGCAATGTCAATTATATTATCCTAACTTTAATGTGAGGTATTATTTAATACAAAATGTTAAAATTTATTTTTTTCACCCACTCTTCTCTTGAAGGGAGGAGTGGTGGGGGGTGGGGGGAGGGTTGGGACTGTTGGAAGAGGGGGGAGGCAAGGTGGGGTACTTTGATTGACAGATAGTGTCGTGAAGAATATTTTTTTTTTATTAACTGAAGATATTTGTTTTAGCTCATAAAATTCATACAAATTACCCGGCCAGAATATAATTTACATTGCTGGAATTCTTCAATGAATTTTGAATATAAACATCATATATTTTGCATTAGACATACAAATTTTAGATAAAACTAAGGATGTTATCTTTTCAAAATATATGACATTTATATTCAAAATATTCCTGGTCTTACAAGGAATCCAGCAATGTCAATTGTATTATCCTAACTTTAGTTTGAGGTATTATTTATTAAAATTTAGTGGTTTTCCCCCAAAAATTTCTCAGAGAGGGAAGAGCCAGCAGTGTTGTGTGAGAAGAGGGGAGGGAGTTGAGTCCATTATTTGAATGGACATTAACTTGGCGACTGTATTTCTCTATTTCTCTTAAGTATTAATTGTGTGCATGTACCATCATAAAATTAAGATGTTATTTTTACTACAACATAGTTATGTGTCTTCAAAAAGTGGAGTTTGGGGGTCGGGCCGGTTTCTATTGGAATTAATCCCATATGTTCTGTTGTTCACTTAACGCGGACTTCACTTAACGCGGGACCCTCTGGGTTCTATTGACCGCGTTAAGTGGGGTACAACTGTATATTGTTTCTCACTTTTGATCATTTCATTTTGTATTTCTTTATGGTTCATTATTATTATTATTATTACTACTACTATTAAATTTTCACCCCCCAGGCCCTGATGTGGGTCAGTGACCTGTGCAGGTAGGCTAATCCTGCAAAAAAAAAAAAAAAAAAGGTTGGTTAAATATATATATTTAAAAACAACAAAAGCTCTGTATGACACAGGCATGAACAGAACTGTTTCTCTTATCTTCACCACTGATCGGCTTGCTAGTCGCTTGGACGATCGTCACGTCTCTGTTACACACTTCACCCAATTGACTGTAGTACATAACTAATCATGTCTTAACACTTGTGATGAAGGTTGGGTGGGAGATTATTGGGTCACGTTACTCACCTGACCTGATGCAACGTCAGGTCACCCAGTGTTGGGTGGGGGATTAGTGGGTCTTATGACCTGAATATGTCTTAAATGACATTATTTTTTACCTATGAGGTATATACATAGTACTATACTGTATTGTATATGAAGGGTTCGGGTATTAATAAGCACAGATTATTACAGTAACGTATCTGTACTGATTAATGAAAAACAAATAAACATTATTGTATCATGAATGAGCCGGTACTTTAGACAAACAGTGAGGCGACCCTTGTGTGTGTGTGTGCTCACTTTACCCCCAAGGGATTCTTCAACTTCTTCCTAGTCTCTGAAAATGGAGGAGAGATTAACACCTATAAAATGTCACTGACTTGCATTGCTGGAATTCTTGTAAAATAGCGATTAATTTGAGCATAAATATCCCTTATTTTGCACCACACATACACACACCCCACACACAAAACCATATATAAACACACACACACAACCATATATAAACACACACATAACCATATATACACACACGGAATTAGCCGTGTGTGGGGAGGGGGGAGGTGTCGCGGTCACTTTTATCCCCAATAGAACCTTCTCCCTCTGGCTTGGAGGAGGGTGGATGGGGGGGGAGGTAGGGAAGATTTAAGCATACTCAAGGATTATGAAAGGCTGAGGGGTTTTATTTTTTTCCATATAAAATGTCACTAACTTGACTTAGGAGAATATAACTTACATTGCTGGAATTCTTGTAAGACCGATTAATTTTAGTATAAACATCCCTTAATTTGCACCATACATAATAAATTTAGTAATTAACTTAGTACATTTGAGTAAAGGTTCAAAGCTTTGTGACATCACTAATGTACAATGGTCTCCATATGCCTTGGTTTATTCATTGATCAGTTGTCTAAGTACAAAAGTGGCCCAGTTGAACTATCATGTATCAATTAATTTTAAAATAGAAATTATAGTGTAAAATGTTACAAGACAATGGTTTAGTAGTGCTGTTAATATGCGTGTTGTGTAAGGTAAAAAAAAACAAACACACGAATTAAGACAAGCATCCAGTGAGGGTTTTGTTGTGTGACTGCATGGGAGCGAATAAAAAGATCAGCTATTGAGGAGCTTATTGCTT